CACACCAGTGGTTTTGGGTTGAATTCCCAGTCAGGACACATACGTAGGTTGTGAGTTCAATTCCCGTTTGTGGCGTGTACGGGAGGCAACTGATCAATGTTTTTCTCTTTCTCTCTCTTTCCCTTTCTCTCTCTAAAATCAATAAAAACATATCCTCGAGCGAGGATTAAAAAAAAAAATAGTAACACTGCAGTGAGCATAAGGGTGCATACATTCTCTTTAATTTGTGTTTTGGGTTTCTTTGGATATATTCCCAGAAGTGGAATTGCAGGGTCATAAGGCAGTTCCATTTTTAATTTTTTGAGGAAACTTCACACTGTTTTCCATAGTCGTTGCATGAATCTGCATTCCCACCAACAGTGCACTAAGGTTCCCTTTTCTCCACATCCTCACCAATGCTTAGCAAGAGGTGTGGAGCATGCCAAGGCCAGATGCTGCTTGTTTGATATTTCTGAACGTTTCAGAGATTTTAGGAAATTCCACAGCAGTAGCCAAGACAGGCAGTTTGTATGGAAAAGCCATTGGAAATGGCTTGGGTGGGCCTGCAAGTTGAGTGGGATGGGGCCCCAGGGATTCACCAGGGTTTGGCGAACAATGTGAGCCAGGTTAATGGAGACGTAGATATAGCAACCACCTGCTGGCTCTGTGGTGGTTGGGAGTCTCAGAAGAGGAACTGTGACCTTTGCTTACACTTTTGTCTGGCAGAAAGCTTCCCCTCCAGCTTTCACCCAATGCTGGCCAATTCAGTTCCTCCACATATGTCCCTGGTGCCTTTCTAGCTGCTGTCCCAGTGCTGGAGCTCAGAGGTAGTGAGTCTGAGTAAGTCCGTGCACAGACCCTTTAAAAGAAACTTCCTGGAACTCCAGCATCCTCCGTCTCCCTTAGCCTCAATCCCTACTTGTTTTTACAGCCCGAAATTATGGGTACTTTTCTTCCTGGCATTGGAACCCTGGGCTGGGGGTGCCTGACGTGGAGCTGGGACTCATCACTCCTCAGGGGGAACCTCTGCAGCCCAGATATCTGTCCTGATTTTTATCTGGCACACCAGCCCATTTCATGTCTCTGCCCTCCCTACCAGTGAGAATATGGCTTCTTCCTGTAAATCTGTAGTTGTAGGACTTCCATTCAGCTAGATTTCAGAGGGTTCTAAGTGATGGTTGTTCTGTAGTTTAGCTGTAATTCTGATGTGGCTGTGGGAATATTCGAGAACAGTATATTTACCTATGGCCATCTTGACTGGAAGTCCTGATTTCTGAATATTAATTTTGTATCCTGTTACTTTACTGAATTCATTTATCAATTCTAGTAATTTTTTAGTGGAATCTTTAGGGTTCTCTATATACAGGACTATGTCATCTTCAATTAATGACAATTTTACTTCTTCCTTTCCGGTTTGGATGCCTTTCATTTCTTGCTCTTGTCTGATGGCCTAGACTTCCAGTACTATGTTGAATAAGAGTGATGAAAGTGGACATCCCTGTCTTGTTCCTAATCTTAAGGGAAAGATTTTTAGTTTTTGCCTTTTAAGTGTGAAGTTGGCTGTGGGTTTGTCAAATATCGCCTTTATTATGTTGAAGTATGATCTCTCTATTCCAACTTTGCTCAGAGTTTTTCTCATAAATGGGTGCTGGATTTTATCAAAGTCTCTTTGTGCATCTCTTGATACGAGCATATAATTTTTATTGTTCATTTTGTTTAAGTGGTAAGTCATGTTAATTGATTTGCTGATATTACACCAACCTTGCATCCCCAGAATAAGTCCCACTTGATCATGGTGTATAATCTTTTTAATATATCGCTGGATTGTTTGCTAATATTTTGTTGAGGATTTTTGCTTCTATGTTTATCAAGGATATTGGCCTATAATTTTCTTTCTTTGTCATGTCCTTATGTGGTTTTGGAATTAGAGTAATGCTGACCTTGTAAAAAGAGCTTGGGAATCTTTCCTTCTCTTGAATTTTTTGGAAGAGGTTGAGAAAGATAGGTGTTAATTCTTTGACTGTTTGGTGAAATTCACCTGGGAAGCCATCTGGTCCAGGACTTTTGTTTGCTGGGATTCTTTTGATTACTGTTTTGATTTCGTTAGTTGTAATCACTTTGTTCAGATTTTCTGTTTCTTGATTCAGTTTTGGAATATTGTATGTTTTTAGGAATTTATCTATTTCTTCCAGATTGTCCAATTTGTTGGCATATAATTAATTGTTCGTAATACAATTCTATAATTTTTATCATGTTTTTTTAAAAATTTTTAAAAATTGATTTCAGAGAGGGGAAGAAAAGGGAGAGAGAGAGAAACATCAAAGATGAGAGTCATTGATCGGTTGCCTCCTGCACCCCCCTCACTGAGGATCAAACCCGAAACCCAGGCATGTGCCCTGACCAGGAATCTAACCGTAACCTCCTGGTTCATAGGTCGATGCTCAAACACTGAGCCATGCTGGCCAGGCTATCAGGTGTTTTTTGTTTTTTTTAAAAATTATTAATTAATTTTTAATCTTCCACTGAGGATATTTTTTTCATTGCTTTTCAGAGAGAGTGGAAGGCTGGTAGGGGGGAGAAATATTGACGTGAGAGAGACATATCAATTGGTTGCTTACTGCAAATGCCCTGACTGAGGCTGGGGATTGAGCCTGCAACCGAGGTATGTGCCCTTGGCTGGAATTGAACCCAGGACCCTTCAGTCTGCAGGTGGATGCTCTAACCCCTGCTAGGACCTATCACATGGTTTTATCTATATTTCCTAGTGTTACCTTTTGTCTCAGTAGGCACTTAATAAATATTTAAATGAAGAAATTTATGAATAAATTTCTAGGTTTACCAGGAAACCTAGATCTGTTGTGAGATGTATTTGCTTAAGTTTTTGTGTCTTACTTTCTTTATCAATTAATAGAGCAGTTTAGGACTAGAATGACTTCTAAGTTCACTTTTACTCTAAAATTCTGATTATAGTATCAGAGTTCAATATTTATTGACAAACATTTATGAAATATTTTGAATTGTCAGACTGTGGGTATAGAAAAATGAACACATTTTTCTGGCTCCTCAAGGACTTACAGACCAGTGGTAGATACATACAGAAATAATGACAGCCAAGTGATGCCTATTTTAAATAGAATGGTACCAAGTGTTTATGGAAGCAGGGGAGAATGCACTTAACTCTGCCTAGGGATCTCAGGGGGTGGCTTTTTGCAAGAACGACCTGAAATTCTTTCTGCATTTTTATGGGTGGTATTTTCCTTTTTCCTTGCATGCAATAATACCTTTTGTGCAGGAATCAGTAAAAACTTAAAATTTATTTAATATCTTGTGGGTCTTGAAATATTGGGGCGCCTTTGTCAAGTATATGGTTGTCTAACCACTATGCTGTACACCTAAAATTAATACAGAATCATACTGAATGTAAACTGTAATTGAAAAATAAAAAGTAAAAATAGAGCTACAAATAAACTTTATTTAACATCTCTTAGAGGGAACAAGTTATAGTAGTTTCGGATATGAGGTAGAAAAAGTTTCTTAGTCCTATTTGAAATCTGTACTTGCTATAATTGTTTTCTGCAGGAAAAAAAATTGGGATAATGTTAACTACACCCATAAATAAGATATAATAAACATGATTTAAAATATAGTAGATGATTAAAATTACAAAATATGTACCAAGGCATGTATTACTTGTGGTTTAGTATAGGAATTAGGATCCACTCTAGGTATTTAAAACAGGATGATGTTTAATACAGAGTATTGGATACTTATGTAATCGCTGGATGACAGTGAGTGGACTGAGTCGAAGGATCTGTAATAAATGTAACACAGAGACCCAAAAGCTTCTGATGTTACCTCCCATGGCACTGCTAAAATTCTGTTTCTCTGGTATTACCCCGTGGTACTGCTAAAATTCTGCTTCTCTGATGTTATCTCCCATGGCACTGCTAAAATTCTGTTTCTAGGTACCTGGTAACTAAACTCTGGAATGACCAGCTATCTCAACTGTTTCTAAATCCTCAGGTCTTAGGACCTTGTTTACTAGCTGAAACAGTAACAGGAAAATAGTTTTCCCCTCTCTTCTGTCTTCCAGATCTCTTGGAAATTCATCCAGTTAGACTTTTCAACTTTTCCAAAGTATTTATCATAAGGAACAAAGAGGAATAGAGAATTAAAAGAAAATTAGTCTTGTTAAAATGCACACATTGGTGACTATATCAATGGACTGGGGAAAATTCAGACATCTTCTGGAATTCTTAAGGATATCAAAAGATTGATAGGAGACCAAAAGTAACGCTTATTTTAGATGGATATGATAGAAAGGGACTTGACAGAATGACAGGATATCTGAAATAGGACTAGGTGGAGAATGCAGGGGTTCCAGTGAATAAACCCTTGTTGATTAGGAGTTTCAGTTTACAGATTAGACATGAAACTTGGAATAAAGGGTACAAAATTATATGGGATTTTGCATTCTGAAGATTTGCATGAATTCTTGATGTTTCTAGGAATTTCTTACATGTGGCCTTTAACCCTTAACCTTTTTAGTTTTGTAATATGGCCATTCACGTAGCCCTGATTTTCACAAAAATATCAGCCTGCAGGGAAGAGAATTTGCTGTGACTTTGGGAAATTAGAAGCAGAGAGGGAGGTGGGCAGTAACTCTGCTATCTTGTTCCAGATAGGAATGTGGTCCTGATGCTGCTGAATTAAGTTCAAGAACTAAGAGAATCTGATGTTTGAAAACATTCTTTAAAGGGAAACCATATAATAGCATGGCAAGAATTAGCTGTTTTTTATTTTTGGCACAACTTCACCTGCACATCCCATTAGGAAAGTAAGGAGCTGGTGAAAAGGCTGTATTTTTTTTGGCTCTATGTCGAATTACAAGTGTTTTTGTGTTCCTGCTAATAACTCATCTCAAACACTCCTTTGTAACCTGTATGTCTTCTTTTTCATGTTAGTATTTCCTTCTTCCTATATGGTTACATTGTCGTCGCAAAGAAAAATATACTTAGAGCATATGTTGATTGTTTATGTTTTATTCTCAGGTTGTTGCAAGACATGAAGATTTACTGGCACAAGCAACTGGAATTGAATCTTTGGAAGGTATATTTCCATTAACTATTACAGATTATATAGAGCTAGACCAGGGATTGGCAACCTTTTTCTGTTAAGGGTCATATAGTCAATATTTTAGACTTTCCAGACCATACTATCTCTTTTGCAACTACTTAACTGCCATTGCAGAGTGAAAGAAGTCAGAAAATATGTAAATAAATTTGTGTGGCTGTGCTCCACAAATCTTTAATAACACTGCTGAACCCTGAGCCAGATTATTTGGGTTCAAATTTTTGCTTTGCTACTTCCTAGATGTGTGACTTTAAAGTTACTTAATGTTTCTGTGCCTCAGTTTTATCTATAAAGGAAAGGAGTATTAATATGTACTAACATGGTGTTATTCTGAGGATTAAATGAGTTAGCAAAATACTTAGAACAATTTCTGGCACATATTTAGTATTTCTCTAACTGTTAGTTAATTCAAACAACTAAAATCAGCAACACCAAAGTAGGTAGTAGAGGAAGTAAGCTTGAATTTTTTCTTATTTTTGGCTTTTCGATGAAAGTCTAATAGAATAGCAATACATTGGATTTTAATTTTTATGAATCCTTTCATTTTTGTTTGACTAATATTTATGAATTTTTTTGTTCCCCCTTGATTAAACTATATCTTATAAATATGAAATTTTAATATCATGTTTTATATTATTTGTGTTGTGATTACTATTATTAAAGCTAAGTGATCTTTTTCTGTTTTGATGAAATTCTTAAGGAAGAATATTGATTTTTGTGATGCAATATTCTTTAATGCTTCCCCCAGTGTTTCTTATGAATTCAAAGGTCTCAGTATGTACACTGTTTCTAAGACATCTTGATAAAGAACTTAGTATTTTCAGAAATAATAGTTCAACTGCTATTTTAATATTTAGGATGTGTATATCAGACCATGTTCATGACAAAATTAAGAGGCTCTAAGTACTGACTTACTACTGGAAATTAATTATGTTTTTTTAATCTCTAAATATTTTTTATGTGTTTCTGGAAGCAAGTAAATAATATCCTTTTTTAATGGTAATTTTTTTAAAATGTTAAGTGATTTTTTCATTTGTAAAACCTGTGAGAATGGCATGGTAGTATGTTGATTCTGAGTGTGTATAAGAATGTATATATGTATATGTGAATCATCACAACAGAAATACTTCCCATTGTGGTTTTCGTATGTGTTTAGTTCTATAATGTGCTTGTTTTTCCCAGAATGCTTTTCACTGATTACAGTATTTAAAATATACTGTTGGACTGAGTTAGAATAGCTGTTTGTTTGGTGATTGTATAGAGTACAAAGGCTGGCTTCTCAGAGTTCCTACGATAACCTAAGAATATTCTCCAGATTATTTGAACATAAAAAGTCAAAGTATGAATTGGTTAGTATTCATTTTAGCATGACGTATATTCTGATACCTATATACTTAAAATTTCGCCATCTAAGTAGTTTGGAGATATATTTATCAAGCCTATTTTATTAAATCTGCTCCCTACTTATTTTTGTTCATTTATTCGTTTAAATATTAATTGAAAATTTGCTAGATTCCAGGCAGCTGTGATAATATATGGAGTCCTTGTCTTTATGGGCTATTTAATTAAGCCTGTTTTATAAAAAGAGATATCCTCATTCATTCATTTGTTCATTCAGTCAAATAGTAATTGGGCACTTAGTAGGTATCAGGCACCTGTGAGCAATAGAAAAGTCACTGTTCCTATGGAACTTATGTTCTAGGTGGGGAAGTAGACAAAAAATATGTACAAATAGGAAACTTCAGATGTTTGTAAATCCTACAAAAAAAATAAAACGGATGATGGGGTGGAGGAAGGGTATTCCTTTACTAGCTAGGATGGTCAGGGAGGGCCATTTTGAGAAGATGACATTGAGTTGAGATCTGAATGATGAGAAAGAGCTACCACATGAAGATCTGGGGAGAAAATGAGGGACCAATAAGTGGGAAGGCAGGTAAGTATTAGCTTGTCAAGTCAAGGGGCAGAAAGAAGTTCAGTATGAATGGAGTTTAGTGAATGAAGGAAAAAATTGTAGGTAATGTTCTTGGAAAGAAATTTTGATTTTCATTCTAAATGTAATGGTAAACCATTGGAGGATTATGTGATAGGATTAATACTCTTTAAAGTTTTATCTGTCGGTTCTATAGGAAGGCAAGAGTAGAATCATTGGTGCAAATTTAGAAGTTACTAGAGTAGTAAAACTTGATTAGAATAGTGGATGGAAAGAGAGACAGGAGAGAAAAATGGATGGGATAAAAGTGGGGCCAGAGCTGGTAAGATTTGTTGATGGAAGATAGAAAGGTTGAGGGGAAAAGTCATCAGGAATGACTCCTAAGATTTTAGTCTGGAAAATCGGAAGGATGATGGTATGAGTAACAGGTGGGTTAGGCTGGAGAAGATTAAGATTTTGATGGGCCCAGGGTGGAGCAGAAGTTGTCTTGGGCATCTTAAATTTGAAATAAAAGAGTTCATGGTTAAAGATTTGTGTGCACATGTGTGTGTGCTTGTGTGCACGTCTGTGTATGTGTACATAGGCAGATATAAAGAAAGTCTATATAGATATATGTACATGTGTATATAAGCAGATGTATATATGTATAAAATCAGTATTTTATTGAACAGATAACATTTTAAACATTGGGATAGACTGAAATCCCTGAGAGATTGTAGGTGGAGAACAGAAGAGGCTGAGGGTCAAATCTGAGTACTCCAGCATGTAGAGATCTAACAGGATGATTAGGATCAAATAATGAGATAAGGGGAAATCCAGGGTGTGTGAAGCCCAGAGGTAAAAATGTTTTAGACAGGGAGTGGTTTAACTGTGTGATGAATTTCTGAGAGTTCTAACAAGAAAAAGATGGAACTGACAATGGCATTTGTTATCTTAGAGATTTCTGATGACCTTAATAAAGATCAAGTGAGTATGAAAAGCCAATTGAGATTGCCTTGTGGAGAGAAAACGATGTGCAAGTAAGGGCAGTTCGTTCTTGGAGGCTTAAGGTCAATGAATCATAAAACCAGCAGAAAAACAGGAATCCTTGGGGCCAGAGAGGATTCTATTGGACTGAGCCAAATGAAAGCATATGGAGTGGGGCAAAAGTAGGTTTACAGTCGTTCTATGGGAAAAGACATGGAGGTCATGATTATTACAATAGCTTTATTAACTCTGTGCTTCAAGTACTCACAACTGTAAGCCTACATTTGCCTCACCCCGTATTTGTATGCTGATAGGAGTGTTTATTAGTTCTAATATTACTTCATCTAATATGTGACAACATTCTATGCTTAAATTTATTTAGAATGCTATGTTCCAAAACTACAACTATGCAAGTTAAATAGAGAAAGTGAGTTTTAAAGACTGGAGTTCAAAACAATTACATCTGTAACATTGGAAAACCTATTTTTACGCATATATAAATAGTAAAATTTAAGATCTATCTTTCTGAATATATCTTTCTGGAAATATTTTTACAGTTTTGTAAAAAGTTTTTTATCATGTTGTATGTGTAGAGAGTAAAGGCAATAATATTCTTGCTGTTTATGTTTATTTATCTAGCATATAGTTCATTAATTTAAACTTATTGACTACTTGCCATGGGAAGTAGTTTGAGTTAGGTTCTTGTCATACAATAGCGAATGAAAAAGAGACTTTTCCTAAATGCCAGGAATATATAACCTAGTAAGAGAATAAAACATTAAACAGATATACAAGTTGATATGTAATTACCTAATGTAATTAGTGCCATAAAGGAAATGTATGTTGTAGAAGAAAATAACAAGAGAATCTAAATTAGTTGAGGGATCTGCTAGTAATTTTTTATGTTAAGACAAGACTTGAACAAATGGGTTGGAAAGACTATACCAGGTGGAAAGTATGCCATATTCAAATCATACAGGGCCTTGTACAAGACCAGGCTGTGGACTTTAGTTCTAACATAGGAGTGAAGGGGAGACTGTGGAAGGGGTTTAGCAGAGGAATGTCATGGTACAAGTTTGCACTTTTAAGAACACTGAGGCTTCTTTTTTGTAATTATAGTGCAAAACACATTAACATGAGATTTACCATTCTCTCCATTTTAAAGTATATAATTCAGTGGCATTAATTACATTTACAGTGTTGGGCAACCATCACTGTCGAGTTGGAGAAGTTTTTCATCACTCCAAATGTGGAAACCCTATCCCCATTAAGTAGTCACTTCCCATTTCTTGTCAGAGTTCTTCAGTGGAACAAGGATTAGAGGGCGAGATAGAGGCTTTTATAATAGTGCAGGTAAAATATATTGGTTGCTTAGATTACAATTGCTTATGTATGTGTATACGTATTTCTTTTTAAATTAATTTTCTACCCAATTTGAGCCCTTATAACTTTGTAAAGTAATATAAGCTGTTATGTTTTCCTAGGTGTTCTTCAGATGATGCAGACAAGAATTGGGGCATTACAGGGAGCTGTTGATAGGTACTGTTATTCATTTTGTAAATAAATAGAATAGAAGGATTATTATCTGTTGATATTTTGAAGATGATTTTATTACCACTCCTCTCTTTATTTTTCCTTTAGGATGAAAGCAAAAATTTTTGAGCCATATAATAAAATAGTAGCCCGTACTGCACAACTAGCAAGACTTCAGGTAGGTTCTCACTTTTCATTTCTTTATACTTTGTTGTTCCTTTTATTTTTATAAATGGACAGATTTCAAGGGGATGAATTCTGAGAAAATAAGAGAATATGAGAGAACGGGAAAAATACTAAAGGGCTTTAAAATAAGATAGCCAATTAAAAAATACAAATCTAAATTACTGTTCAAGTGAATTATTCTCTTCTTATTGCAGTGTATAATAATTTACTAACTTTTTTAGAATTCAAAATTATTTCTTTTAATGGAGAACAGAAAAAAAACTAGCATTTATTCAATTCTTGCTGTTTGCTGTGATCAAGTGTAAGCAACCCAAACCTATAGTTCTAATAGCAGTGCTTATTCAGGAAATTCAGTTTTTGACCGAAATTTAGTAGTTTTCTAGGTTTACAAGAGAGAGATATTCAAAACATTTTATTTTCCACATACTTTCCATAGATTATTAAAAAACTATTTGCCTGTAGTTAGATACAGTGGTACCTCGGTTTTCTAATGTAATCTGTTTCGGAATTCTGTTCAAGTTCTGAAACATTTGAAAACCGAGGTTTGATTTCCCAAAGAAAGTAATGCAAAATGGATTAATCCATCCCAGATCTTTATTTATTTTATTTTATTTAATTTATTTTATTTTATTTTTTATTTTATTTTATTTTATTTTATTATTTTATTTTATTTATTTTATTTAATTTTATTATTTTATTTATTTTATTTAATTTTATATTTTATTTTATTTTATTATTTTATTTTATTATTTTATTTTATTTTATTTTATTATTTTATTTTATTTTATTTATTTTATTTAATTTTATTATTTTATTTAATTTTTTATTTTATTTTATTTTATTATTTTATTTTATTTTATATTTTATTTCTTTTTTAAGTTTCTTTGTTTTTATTGTTGAGAATATTACAGATGTCCTTTTTATCCCCATTGATCCCCTCCACCCTGCATCCATTCCACCGCTAGGCTTTTGCCATACCAATGCCTGTGTCCATGGGTTATGCTTATGAACACGTAGGTTCTTTGATTAATCTCTCCCCACCCACTCCCTTCCTTCCCTCTGATATCTCTCAGTCTGTTCTATGCTGCTATGTCTCTGGATCTACTTTGTTCATCAGTTTGTTTAGTATATTCCACATATAAGTGAGATCATGTGGTTCTTGTCTTTCTTTGACTGGCTTATTTCACTTAGCATAATATTGTCTAGTTCCTTCCATTCTGTGTCAAGGGCTAAAAGATCCTTCTTTTTTACAGCTGCATAGTATTCCATGGTGTAAATGTCCCACAGCTTTTTTATCCACTCATCCACTGATGGGCATTTGGGCTGTTTCTAGATCTTAGCTACTGTAAATAATGCTGGTATGAACATAGGGGTGCATATATTCTTTCTGGTTAGTGTTTCAGGATACAAGAAGATGCTTGATATAATTTCAGTCTTCTTGAATTGGTAGAGACTTGCCTTGTGCCTTAACATGTGGTCTATTCTTGAGAATGTTCCATGTGCACTTGAGAAGAATGTGTATTCTGCTGCTTTGGGATGAAATGTTCTGTAAATGTCAATTAAATCCATTAGATCTAGTGTGTAATTTAATGTCTGTGTTTCCCTGTTGATTTTTTGTCTTGATGTGTCCAGTGCTGACAGTGGGATGCTAAAGTTTCCCACTATGATTGTGTTGCTGTTGATCTCCCCCTTAAAGTCCCCCAAGAAATTTTTTATATATTTAGGCGTTCCTATATTGGGTGCATATGCATTTATAAGGGTTATTTCCTCCTGTTGGATTGATCCCTTTAGTATTATGTAGTTACCACCTTTGTCTCTTGTTAAGGTCTTTATTTTGAAGTCTGTTTTGTCAGAAATGAGTATTGCTAGTCCAGCTGGTTTTTCATTTCTATTACCATGGAATATTTTTTTCCATTCCTTCACTTTTAGCTTGTGTGAATCTTTTGCTCTCAGGTGGGTCTCTTGTTACCAGCATATATTTGGATCCTGTTTTCTTATCCATTCAGCTACCTTATGTCTTTTGATTGGAGAATTTATTCCATTTACATTTAAGGTTACTATTGATATATACTTATTTAATGCCATTTTCCCCCTTTATTGAGAGAAGGAATATTCTCTCAATATTCCTTCTTCTTAAAATGGTCCTTTTAGCATTTCCTGCAATGCTGGTTTGGTGGAACTGAACTCCTTCAGCCTTTTATTGTCTGGGAAGCTCTTTATTTCACCTTCAATTTTAAATGACAGCCTTGCTGGATAAAGCAGTCTTGGGTGCATGTTCTTGCTTTCCGTTACTTTGAGAACTTCATGCCACTCCCTTCTGGCCTGAAGTGTTTCTGTTGAGAAATCTGCTGTCAGCCTTATGGGGGTTCCTTTGTAGGTAACTGCTTGTCTCTCTCTTGCAGCTCTTAATATTCTCCCTTTGTCCTTAACATTTGCGATTTTTATTATGATGTGTCTTGGAGTGGGTCTCTAAGGGTCCCTCTTGTTTGGAACACTCTGTGCTTCCTGAACTTCTGTGGCTTTCTCCCTCACCAGTGTAGGGAAGTTTTCTGTCATTATTTTCTCCACCAAGTTTTCTATCCCTTTCTTTCCTCCCCCTCTGGTACCCCTGTGATGCAAATATTGTTTTGCTTCATGTTGTCCCAAAGCTCCCTTAGACTGTCCTCTTGCTTTTTAAATGTTTTTTCTTTTTGCTGCTCTGATTGTTTTTTTCTACCTTACCTTCTAAGTCACTTATTCTATCCTCTGCTTCATTGAGCCTGCTTTTAATTCTTCCAGCTTATTCTTGATATCAGATATAGTATTCTTTGTTTCTGCCTGGTTCTTATTTATGATACCTAGCTCCTTTTTTCATGTTTTCACTAAATTCTTGGACCTTTCCATTAAGTGTCTTCTTCTCATTAATTTCCTTGAGCATCTTTATAACCATTACTCTGAACTCTGTCTCTGATAACTTGTTTAATTCCATCTCATCAAGGTCTTTTTCCGGCAATAGTAATGAAAAATAAAAAATAATAGTAAATTAAATAGAAAGTGAAAAATAGAGAAGCTACTTGGAGATAAAAGGGGCAGAGAAAAGATTCTGAAAGAAGGGCAAGCAAAAAGTTAAGGGTAGAGTGTAGGAATAGGAAAATAGTTGAAAAATAAAAAACAAAAATACAATAAGGATACAGAAGCAAACAAAAAGACAGGAAGACAGAATGGAGAATAAGAAAAGAGAGAAAAAAAGTTATTCAAGTGGAATGAGAAGAGAGAGAGAGAAAGCAAGGGTAGGGAGGGCCTCCAATAAGAGGTACGGGGGAAACATTAGAGAAACTAGTAAACTTATTGGTTATAATGATAATGTCCCCGCAATTAAGCAGAGAACATCAAAAAAATCTTGAGCCTGGCTGGGCGTGGCTCAGCGGTTGAGCATCGAGCTAGGATCCAGACGATCGGGGTTCGATTCCTGGTCCGGGCACATGCCCAGTTTGTGGGCTCGATCAGTGACTCTCTTGTCATTGATGTTTCTGTCTTTCTCTCTCCCTCTCCTTTCCTCTCTCTGAAATCAATAAAAATATATTAAAAAATCTTGATAATAGAACAAAGGACAAAACAAAACAATGCAAAGAACAACAACAAAGCAAAACAAATTTTTTTAAAACTTTAAAAAAAATTTTTTCCCTTTTCTCTCTTTTTTCTAAGGAAAAAGAAAATCTGGTCAGTTTTATCTGTGCAGCTTATTTGTCTGAGGCTCACTGTTTTGTATGCTGATTTCAGGTCTCCTGGGAGGTACTTGTGTATCAGCCAGTGTCAGGAGTTTTCTAGGTTTGGCTCTAGTGTCCTCGGGTAGTTGGTTGATCTGAGGCTCTCTGTGGACCACCTCCACTTGTCACCTATTTTGCCTCTCCCTCGTGGTTCCCTGGTCTTAACGGTAGCATCTTCTGAAGAGTCTTTAGGGTGCAGGCCAGCTAGTGTAGCTTGGGATATTGCTCCCCTTACTTAGAGTTTTCGCTGTCAGGCACTCACTGTGGGTAAGTTAGTCTCTGTTTCAAAGGAAGCTCCTCAGTCTCTACCCTATCTTCCAATTCTAGTTCCCCATACAATGGCCTGTTGCAGTTTCAGATTGACTTCAATCTGTTGCCTTTTTTGTATGGGCCTATTCAGCAGTCTAGGCTCAGTGAATTTGATTAAGAACAATTCTGTGAATATTTTGCCTGCCCAGCCCCCAGCAGAAGTTTCCAGCTTTTCCTCCAGTTCCCAAACATTAGTCCCTGAGAGTCTTATTCTTATAATGTCCTCCTGTGAGCTGTTTTCCCTTTCCCCTCAGGCCTGTACACTTTGGGGGATATCTGGGGCTTTAGTGAGCTGAACCAGCCCCTTTTTGGGGTGGTGCTCCCAGCCTGCAGGAGAGGTAGGTGTGGTCCACCCCTCCCTTCCCATATCTGGTTGGCTGATCACACAGGGCGCTTGTTTCAAACTCTCCATAATGCAGACACACATCCCAGCTTCTGCTCGTCAGTCTCCCCAATGCAAGCCAGGAAGGTGGACGCCCCTTTAGCTATAAAAAACTGAAAAACATACAAAGCAACACACAGGCAGAGAATTTGCCCTGCAATGTTCTGCCACCTTCGTGCCTCCGTACCAAGCAGGAGGGGACCCAAAGTCAGCTCCCCACAGCTTCCCTGCACCGCTGATATCAGTAAAGCTGGGGTAGCTCTTTGCGTGCTATCCCGGCTCCCCTCAGAGTGGGTCAAAAATCCTAGATTCGCCACACTGGGAGCTCAGGTGCCTGGAGACCCCCATCCACCCCACAGGCAGCTCCAGTCCCTCTCTAGGGGCAGGAGGGCTCTCTTCCTCTTCTTTGCACCACACATTAAATATTTTCTGGAGTTCTATACAATGCCTTATAGGAAGAGAGACGGTCCCTGTATATGGTTGCTCAGGTCCCTTTCTACTGGGGTACCGCACACTTTGGGACAACTTTTCCTATGGTCAGCACCGGGTGTGAAA